CGGCTAGGTAACATCTTCAGTGCTAAAATGGGATGGGTTTGCTCTCTGTTTATATATACAGTGGCATGCCCTGCCAGTGCTGGTGGGGGTGTGGGTTTTGTTTTATTTTTTTCTCCTTCTGGTAGTTCCTTGATTAGGGTATTGTTTACTGCTTGATTGTTTGTCTGGTGATAATCTTGGTGTTAAGCTCTGCTTAACTGGGTGATGGTTGCTGGTGAGATGTTCTGGCCTTTTGTTTCCTTTTTATTGTCTCTTTTGAATAGTGTGTAGATGTTGTTTATCTCTATTTGCCATTTGTTGGTTGCCTTGTCTGAATACCAGGCTTCCAAGAATTCCCTCACATTTTTGGATTTAGCTTGGTCTAAGATGCTGACAGTTAACCCAGCTAATTGTGATATACAGTAGTTTATAAAATAAGCTTAAATAAACTATATTTTAATGGGTCCTCTGAACACAACTTTTGGCCTCTTTTGTAGATGCTTTGTCGCCTCTCATTTCATGTTTTTCTGTCCCATAAACTTTTTGCAGGCAGTCTGTGAATAGAGTCTGTGAAACAGGGACAGAGAGAGGGCAGGAGCTTTTCTCTGCAGTACTCTGTTTGCAATGGCTCTGACCCTGATTAGGGCTTCCCAGATGTCATTTATTTTTTAAACTGTAAGGAATAAGACACCATCAGCCAAGCTGATCAGAGCTGTCCAGAAAACCCCGGCCTAGCGTTTTGTGTGACTGCCGCCTTCATGTATCCCAAAAGGCTAGGCCGAATCCAAGCCTCCTGGTGTGCGGTACAGAGCCAGCTGGCTTTTGTGAACAACATACAAACAAGGCACTTATTTCCTCAACTGTCTACAGAGGTATTCAACACGTCCTTGCCTCCATTCATGCAGCTGGTTGCACAAGAGAGTAAAGGGTCAGTTTTCACCCGTAACACAGACTTCCAGAATTTATTCCAGGCCTAGATCCCTATTTTCCCTTTCCTACCATACACGCAGCACGAAGATACCTTACTTCTTAGCTCAATTTTTTTTCTTGCATTCCCCGATTATTATTAGTATTTTACGTATCCTCCGTGGGAGCAAATACAATTTTCTGCATCTATGTGATATTTTCCCATTACGCTGAACAAGCTTCTTGGTTTATCCCCTATCAATTCCCCCAGGTTATAAAGTCTGAAATAAATGTAGCCGTGCATTATTACTTACAGATCTCAAAAATACATTTTAAAAATGCGGTGGGCACTTCACTACACGTTTTACAGAACATTTATTAATATAGGTTTGCAAGGCGGGATGGGTTAGAGGAGTTTCCCTGCATTCCAGATCCTTCGTTTGGTGTTCTACTAATCCAGCCGTTTCCTTTGTGCACGACATATATAATCAGATCTGGCGAACCTCTAAAGCTTCATACTGTACATTCCCTGATGCTCAGTTGAAAAGCTAGGCATTTCTAAATGCTGCGCAATTACACACGCGCGCGCGCGTCATGTGAAATCTCACATTATCTTCGCAAGCACATTTTTTTTAAAGAAAAACAAATCCCTTTCCTCACCCCTGTCTGCTTTGTTTCGAGTCCTACGAACACCAAACCCACATTCGTGCAAACTCAGCACAGAGGGAGGAGGCGAAAGTGAGGGGGCGGTCCACAAGTCCCGGGAAGACGCACGCGCGTAGCTCCAGCCCCTTTGGGCACGCGCAGGAAGCCATGTGTCACGTTTGCGAGGCTTCACGACTCTCCGGAGGTCTTTTTGGTAAAGGCTGTTGCCGCTGATATTCCAGAGGTAGAAACTCTGAACAAGTAAGAGGCTCTGGGGGTGGAGGAGAGAAGAGACTGTCGTTAAGGTGGCCCAGAATTGTATCGAAGGAATGATAATTGTAAGTGGGGTGGCATGTCAAGGCAAGTTTAGTATGAAAAATTCAGTCCTGAAGCTTTACCTAGAGGAGGGGAACATGTGTCGTGCGTGAGAAAAAAAACGTGCAAGGGAGAAAAATAAACGGGATCCTTGTAGACATTACTTGTTAGGACTACTATTCCAGCACGTGAATATTAGCAGGCTAAAGTGGGACAGTCTCAGGAAGAATTATCATTTGATTCTCTCGCTTTTATAAGTTGGATGTAAGATGCCAGGGTTAGGAGGTAGGGATTTGCTATCTTTGACGGATCATTATGGCTCTTTGAAAACAAAATGTATGTATGTACTCTTCATTCTTGTATTCATATCTCGCTTTTTCTCTGAGACCTCAAGGCAGCATCTAGGGATAGGTTTCCTTTCACTTTACCTCTGCAACAACCATTAAGGTAAATTGTGCAGAGAGAGTGTGACTAACCCTTATTAACTACTGAGCTTAATGGCCAAGTGGGAATTTGAATCCTCCATCCAAATCTAATACTTCAGCCAAGGTGCCACTAGACTCTTCCCAGTTTCTACCATACCCCCCTCAAAGATTATAGAATGTCTATGTGTTTTTCTGGGGATTATATATGCCAGCATGTTCCACCCACTTTCCTTCTGATGTATTGGTCAATAGCTCCCATTGTCTCACGTGGTACAGACAATACTGAAAGATTATGAGAGATATAGATCAGTACCTTTGGAAAACATAGGGTATGGAAGACTAGTTTAGGTTTGCTGCCTTACACCATTGGCTGTGTTTGCACATCGCACTAAATCATGGTTTATATAGCACAGTGGCTGGATTCATGTAATGCATTATGCCAAAATTAAATTATAATAATCTATTAAATTTATATGCTGCCTGACTCCCAGCGACTCTGGGCAGCTTGCAATTGTTGTTATAATTTAGGATATTGTTAGGAGCAAGCCACTCACTCTACTCCTCTGATCAGAAAACAATATAGACTAATTTTTCTTTCTTTTCCAGGTCTTGTTAATTGGGAGAAAAACGGTGATTCAGAAACGAATGTTGGGCAGAAAAACAGATCCCTGCTCCTCTACCTTCTATTAGCATCATGACCCGGCACAGTAAATATCTGCTTGAATTATACCCATCTAATTGGAATTGTAAATGAAAAATCTTGTTTGCTGTATCTCTGATTCCCCCTTTCTTCCTCTTTTGCAGAGCAGAAAAGATCTAGCAAGAAATCCAAACATAGCAAGGTAAGGGAGGACCTTGAAAAAGTGAGTTTTTGTGGTAGAGATGAGAGAGGAATCAATAGAAGGACAGAGCAAGCCTTTGAATTTGATAGTAGATGATTGCTGGTTATATTAGTGAGGCAGAACTGTGTTAAAAGTAAGGCACAGGGTTTGGATGGTAAATCAGCAGGTAGCTGATTTATCTCAGGATGCTTCCGGATGAAACTATCATGCAAGTTGCCAAAGATACGGTAATGCTGTTATCTTCCACCTGTAACTCTGTGTTTTTCCCATTAGTGTATCAATTCTGCTGTGAGTACAGCTTGCAGATACGGAGGCCTAGGACACTTTTTAGCAAAGGGGAAAGGGGCAAAGTAGTGTCAGCTGGAAAAGCAAGGGTCTGTTGTTATTCTCAGGTGAGATGAATATATGTAGCTTTATGTCTGCAATCAAATCTAGTGCAGTGCCTTTTCTGAAGCCTGCCCTTCCTCGTTCATAGAAAAAGGATGCCAAACCACGTGGGAAAAAGGATTCAGGAGTACCTCAGCTGTCACACTTCAAAGAGCATGTCAAAAAGGAACTGGCCCTAAGGCAGAAAAGGGTAAGGCTGAAAGTAGAACACTGCATGGGAGAATAAAGCCAAAGGTGGGCTTTTTAGATTCCTGAATTAGTTTCCCTGCTCAGGGCCATGGAATTTGGGATGGCATAGTACTGGTACCTGACACACCTACCGTGTCTGTGCAGCAGGGATGCTAGCACCCTCTTGGGTTAAGACCGTATCCATCTAACCAGGTTACAGAACTGCAGGAGCAGCAACAAATGGCACGACAGAAGGAAATCAGCCGGTTCCGGAGTCTGGAAGGGTTGCAGAAGGATGCCTTGCGTAGACAGCAACGCTTTGAGCAGAAGGTAATGAGTCTGGGCTGGTGATCTTCCCCATGGCACATGTATCCAATCTGGTTGCAGGAAGTCTGGTTTGTCCACGCAGCTTTTATAGAAGTTTTGATTGTCCTCTTCTTCTGCAGCTTCTTTTAAGCAGCTCAAATATATTGGTGGAGATACACATTTCCATAGTTGGTTAGACAAACACTTGTTTAAGTAGGAAAGAAGTACGTGAAAATCCTAGTTTTAGTTCTAGGTTCATTTTTGGTAATGATTGCTAAATGGCGGCATCCATGATTTCAAATGGGCTTCAGACAGGGGGGCACCATCACTGCCTGCTCTTCGATAGGCAGCAAGGAATATTTTATTCATGCTTTCTCAGAATGTAGACTTGATGCTTTCAGTCTTGCTGGTGTTACATTAAAACTGCTGTTTGTAAGTGATCGGAGTGAATGGTTTATATAACCTTGTACTCCTAACTTATGTATTTTAATGAGTGGGATGGATGGAAATTGCATGTATTGGCCTGAATTCGCCACAGAGTTAGGCAAACTTATAATCATTTGCTTTTGTGCACTCAAATTAAGATACATCTTAGTCATTATGACATATAGAGTCTCATGGAGTTAGGCCCGTAATTTTACGTGGGATTTCTCACAAAGCAGTCTTCTGCTGGTCTACTTGGAAAAACATCCAAATGAGCTCAGTAGGATTCAGTTGTTGGCATATACTGTATCTATGGGTTTATAGCCTTAGTAAATGAACTGTGTTGCAAATCTTTCCTCATTTTTACAATCAGCCCAATACCAGTTATTTCTGGTGTCAATTTACAGAAAGGCAGAAGACAAATCAGGCACTGAGTTGAAGGCTGTGCAAGAATCTGAATGCAAAACTTTCCTCTCTATCTGGCTGTCCCCCCCCCCCCCAAAAAAAGAAACTTA